AATGCAGCTGTCTCCTTCGAGAACACATGCAGGATCATTCTCGAGGAAAAAAGGCAACACAGAAAGAACCGTAAATTGCAGAATACACCTCCTAAGGAGTCTTTCTGTTGTGCCTTTTGCAATCGGATATGTCTGTCTCGTATTGGCCTCATAAGCCACCAGCGTGCCTGTAGCAAATGTGGATAGAGCCTTCCCAAATCTTCGTTCGCGAAGCCTAGCCATGAGACTCTTTCATCCAAGCTTAAAGTGAGATTTGTGTCTTAATTCTTTGAAAGGTCTAGCTTTCCTTGACATTCCCAAATGCCTTCAACAAGCAATTTGGCATTCTGTACTTCTCGACATGGGAGTCTTATGAAAAAATACACTTTTATTTACCAGAGATAATACTATCCATCTTGCAACATCTTCTGGTAAAACCAAAAGAGAACTAAGTCTTCTACCACACAGAGCTATGCCATCCAGTCTACACTTGGTCGTTCTAACTTATATGAGAGTTTTTGAGGAATGTTTTACTCTTACCCCAGAGTCAGGGGTCAACTACAAGAACTTCAAGTATCAGCATGCCCCTGGTTTCCTGCTAACACACACTAGTGACTCAAGTAACACCATATCTCTAGTTACTTATGTTAACAACATAACCAATAAGATGCGTAAGATGAATCCAAGGCTGAGATGTGAACAATGAGGGTCTTTGTCTCTGTTGGCTCCCCTTGATCCCCTGAAACAATGGTAGAGAAATGATAAGCCAAATCAATCAAACTGCAACACCCAGAGCACTGCTCTGGCAGTCTAAATGGCTCACAACATATACTCGCACTCTGAAAAGGTTTAAAAACTACTTTTTCTTCTAGACAGATGGCGTTCACCATTGAAGAGGGCTTACTATTCAGAATTATTTATTTTAGGCAATTTATTTTAGATCTTATGTTCTTCCATTTTATATGTTTCCAGTAGATAGTAGAGACCAGTTCCACATGCTTCTTCCTCCTCACTGCTAGGGATTCAGCTGTCTCTCACTGAAAATTTCACAGAATCATAGAATGGTTTTGGTTGGAAGGACCTTAAAGTTCATCTAGTTCCAACCACTCAACCATGCGCAGGGACACCTTCCACTAGACCAGGTGGCTGAAAACCCCATCCAACCTGGCCTTGAACACTTCCAGGGCACCCACAATTTCATCTGACAACCTGTTCTAGTGTCTCAGCACCTCATTGCAAAAAAAATCCCTCCTTCTTTCTAACCTAAGTGGACACACTTTCTGTTTAAAGCCATTCCTACTTGTCCTATCACTATACACCCTCATAAAAAGTCCCTCTCCAGCTCTCTTTCAGCCTCCCTTTAGCTTATGAAAGGCTGCTATACAATATCCCCAAACCCTTCTGTTCTCCTGACCAAACAGCCACAATTTTTTCAGACTGTCATCACAGAAGAGGTACTCTAGTCCTCTGATCATCTTTGAGACTTTCCTCTGGACTTGCTCCAACAGGTTTATGTCATTTTTTGTTGGGGGCCCCATAGCTGGACATAGCACTACTGGTGGGAGTACAGGAGTAGAAATCACCTCCCTTGACTTGCTGGCCATGCTGCTTTTGATGCAGCCCAGGATACAACTGACTTTCTGGGCTGCAAGTGCATATTGCTGGCTCATGTTCAGCCTCTCATCCACCAGCACCCCCAAGTCTTTCTCCTCAGGGCTGCTCTCAATGCATTCTCTGCCCAGCCTATATTTGGGCTTAGTATTTCCATGACCCCTATGTAGGACCTTACACTTGGCCTTGTTGAACTTCATGTGGTTCACACAGGCCAATCTCCGAAGCCCATGATCCCTGCTGCTGACAAAGGTGTTAAACAGTGCCAGTCCCTCTACTGATCCCCACGGAATGCCACTTTTCACTGGTCTCCACGTGGATATCAAGCTACTGACTGCAACTCTTTGAATGTGGCTATCCAAGCAATTCCCTATTCATCAAGTAGTACATTTCCTGCTACTTAAAAAAGGATGAATCAAATTGTCAGTGTATATTTCTAGACTGTTTTGGCAGACAGCTACATCTTATAGACTGGACTCTGGAGAGTACTCTGGAGACAGTGTGATAACCATGATTTGTCATGTTTCTCCCGATAGCCTCCATAATTGATTGTCATTTGCGTGCTAGGAAGAAACCCTCTTAGACATTGTTAGTCTCTTATTTGCTAAGTTTTGAGGGAGTAAACCAAGTGAATATAACAAGTCTGTAGACAGGCTTATCTAATAGACTGAGTCCAGCAGTCAAAAACAGTTGCCTAAACACTCGTCACATCCCTCTTTCCCTAGGTGAAATCAGTTGTTTCAAGTCTGGATTGAATTCCAGGTTTGGGGTTTAAGCTATTAGACTTCACATGTATGGAACTCATTTGAAAGACAAACCTTCTGGTTTACCATATTTGAAGAATTACTAACAACCTAGTTTG